AATGGGAATTAAAATAATGAGAACTTTTTAAAACTCATTAACAAGATTTATCAAGCTGGATAGAAACATAATACTAAAATACTATAGGATATTATTTAATGTCCATGTGGAGTGAGGTATGTAAAACAAAAAAGTGCAAATATTTGAGAGATGATCTGGATGGTACATGTGAACTTGTTATTAACAAGACAGAATGGAAACCAAGAACCAATAGAGAAATTTATAATTTTTTTAATAGTAAAATATGAAAAATTGGAAAGAATATGAAGGGCACATAAGGTGTGGAAGGTTATCACACAGGTTAAACTGAAACTGACCAGGGGTATCGTGCATCAGAGGCACTCGCCACTTGTTAAGAATTAAAAATATATATATATATATATATATATATATATAAACGTATGAAAATAATTAATTTTAACCTATTAATAAAGTGACCATATTAGAGATTGAATGAAATAAAATTAAAATATTAGATAATATAAAACCACTTAAGAAATTAATGTGTTATATTGTGGGAGATGGAGGAGGAGTAACGTTATCGCCAGGGGCGCTAAATGTCTAACGCCGGCACTGAATTCTCATGTTCCTGTGTAAGAGTGCCACGAAATCCTTTCACAAACATGGCACAGTAGTGGGCTGAACAAGATTCTAGTGGCCAGATTGTGTCGGAAGTGACGACAGAAAAGTTGCGTGAACAATCGGATGGTAAAAGGTTGTTTGAAGCTAGGTGAAGTTAGGGATGTCCTGGTATGATTCAAATATTGGTAAATATTAATTATAATGCTACAATAAACAATTGAATTATTATTCTTAATTTGTTTGCTACCATTCCAATAAATACTAGATGCTTATGAATTTCTTGAAATTAACTATTTCTTTAAACTATTCTGAATTTAAATCTGTTGTAATATTAGATTAGGTGGCTGAAATTTTAATATTTATTGTACACAACTTACGTTTTGTCTTTTGAAAAAAAAATAACTAAAACAACTAAAGATTTATATAAATTAAACTAAATAGCTGAATAATTTTATCCCGTATAGAGCTAACCTTCTCTACTGCCAACATAATCATCAATATTCATCGACACTTTAACTGTATTTAGAAAGGATCTGGTAGTATAAAATGTATTTTAATTTCATTTGAATGTCGCGCCATAGTCACGATAGATCGGGAGCAAGAGTAGCCTAGGAAAATTATTTTGTAGATAGCTCTATTCGTATCTCTCTACACTTCAGTTTTTTTTGACATTGTTGCATCTTTCATATAAACTCTTTATTTTCACCATTTTCCTTCGATATCAAACTACTTTCAACTAGTTCGCTTTCAAGTAGTTCGATATCAAATAGTTCAACGCATTTCTTTCTGTATTATCACTCATAAACTTGCCTCTTGTTGTAATTTCGTCCAAGTAACCTTTTTCATTATCAGTTTCACCTGACAGAGCTATTTACGGTCTTTGATATGAAAATTTTTACCAGGCCTTTTTTCCTTTCTACTTTGTAGGATGAATTTCGCTTTAGGTTCGGTTAATTGATATTTTATACCTTCAAAAAGAGGGAGTAATTTAGAGGGCTTATATATTTTTTTCCTCTCCCTTTTGAATCACTAGGTATTTATTAATACTAATTTTTTTCGTTAAGGCAGCTCAATTGGTATCATTGATTCTGGGCATTAGTTTCGCTTTCTGATTTCCTTTTCTTACCTTTTCGTAGAAGTTTGCCAAATAGAATATTTTAGAAAAAATGAAATTAATTACTTTAATAAGAAATGATGAATAATTATTGGCATGGGTTGCCCATCGCAAGTTTGAGCATGCCACCTTCTAAAAAAAATTGTTATCAGTAGAATTAAAAAAGTTGTAGATAATATTATCCTTGCTCTATGTTTTCCTTCTTTCAGAAAAGTATATATATACCTCTCTCTCACTCTCTCTCTCTCTCTCTCTATATATATATATATATAGCTTTTTTTTTTTTTTTTTTTTTCGTTAGGCGCTACAGAAGATCTTTGACCACGAGTGTGGTCCCCTAGACCATATCCCGATTCCCGATTAAAATACGGGGTAGGGTCATCAATCCTACGCCCGGTCGGCTTAAGTTACCTCCAGTAGGCTGACGGGCTTCACATAGCCGGAGGAGAGGGAGGAATCTCGGGCAGCGTGGCTTTCCTTGGTGGACGGTCACCCATCCAAGTGCTAGTCACGCACGGCGTTGCTTAAATTTGATTACCTATTGCAAGCGCCTTAGCCCGCAAGGCTACCCCAGCCCATGTATATATATATATATATATATATATATATATATATATATATATATATATATATATATATATATAATCATTATATATACACATTTTGATTTATTATTTTCAATAATGAAATATTATGATCGACCAATTCTAGTTTAAAACTCCCCCCTCCTTTCCTAAAAACGGCGCAGAATTGAATTAAATTAAAAATTAAATCATAACGATTGTAATTTAATTGTTTTGTTTGTTCCATAGTTTGAAATTTTCTCAAAATTGATGACCATATGGCTACTTCTAAATATTCAGAACCCTTGTGCCTTACTCAAACATTTCGATGGCACTACTTAGATTATGCAATCCCTTGATTACCAATCAAAACTTTTTTTGATAAATTCAATAGAAATGAATCAGCCAATTTCATGTTTTTATTTTTTTTTTTTTTAGTTGTCAATGTCTTGGTTTTATGCTTAAAATAAAAAAAAATAAACAAATCGCTCGGCTAAAGTTTAGACTAACTACTCTTCGAAGACCAAAAGCATGGTCGGTCTACATTTCCGAACAAGTCGGTTGCGGGTTTCCAATTACAGCTAAGCAAACACTAAGCGAAGATCCATTGTCCTACTACAGTCGTTTTAAATTGAAGGGATCCCTTCAAACATGAATTATAAACAGGTTGGGAAGGAAGATTGTAAATGAGTTAAAAAGGTTCTTTTGAAGACAATGTAATAACAATGTGTAAATGATTTATAAAAAAAGCATACATTTCTTTTTTTTTTCTGAATATTGAATACTTCATATTGTATCTATTCTAATTCATCGCTAAGAGGAGTCGTATTAACTTGTTTTAAATATAGTTTTTGGGTATTGCTGTTTAATTAGTATTAATCTAAAGATAATTTTATGAATGAATAATCTTTGAATTAATATTTTAAAATATAATGGATATCCTTCCTTTATAGCTTGGTTACATTCAAAGGAATTAGTTTTAATATGGCTAATTATTTTGAGTATACTGCTAGAAACTTTTATTGATAGGGAAATCGATTATTAAAAATAAACTGAAACCGAGTCCAAAACGTTACAAAGAGACACTAAAAAGATATAAATAATTTTACTTACAAAATTATTATAAATAATTTTACTTATGTAATTATATAACAGTAACTATTTCGAATCAAATTTATTAAACTTCTTTATCATTATTTGGTACAGGTGCCAAACTGCGCCATAACTGATTAATTTCAAATCTTAAGGTCTTATGAGTTTTCTTCTTCGGAGTTTTCAATTTGATTGACAAACATTAAACATTTTCACTTTATGAATGAAATAATACAAACGAAACAGTTGCTATATGCTATATTTTATGCAAACATGTGTAAAATCTAGTTGTTGCTCGTAACACTCATAGCAGGATAGGATTGAAATAAATAAATAAATAAATACAATTTGAAAACGATGTTGAATGGAACCTCATTTTTTCTTTTAAAGTTGAATAATTCAAAATATATATATATTTAAAAATATTCGATTTATAAAAATTTAGTGAGTATATGCAAGGTTTTTTAAAATATTTATTTTATTTTACAACAGAAATTTATGGCAAAATTGAATAAAATAACTAGCTGATAATATAACTTAAGAAATTCATCTTTTCTGTCTCGCCTGAAATTTTAATTACGAAAACTTTTTTATTGAAAATATCGGAGTGATTTATTTTGACCTGGGCGAAATTAATTGAACAGAATAAGTTCTCTTTTTACAAACTGAAAGAGTTTCTTCATAATTATTTATCGGCTTTTAATTAGATAATTTCTAAGTACATTTACTTATTCAAGTTAATTTTTATTACCAATATTAAATTATTGAAATATTTTGAGTTCTTTATTTCCAACGTGAATTCTTATAATTATTGACAATTTTCCAGAAAACGCGAAAAATTATATTTTCCATTGCAATTGTATTATCAAAACCGATATTTTTCAAAATAATAAATTGAGGAGTCATGTTTACTTGTTGTATTGTTCATGTAATACAGTTGTAAATTTTATTTAAAAAAAAAAAAAATAAATTGAGGAAATCTTTATTTATAGAATTTATTTCCGAAAATATCCGATTATTTAAAGAGTAATTAAATGATATTGAAAGTGGTTTAAAAAAGTTTATTGGTGTTTTATTTGGTTTGGAAATAAAAAAATGATGTATTTTTTGGGAAGAAAACGTTATAAAAATTGTACTATAAAAAAATAACTTTTTGTTTGCAATAATGGTACGATAAATTGTTTATACTTAATTGTTATTTGAATTAAACAGTAAAAAATCCTTTTAATGGATTATTTTTTTTAATACTTAATAATGCATTTTATTCTTTAAAAAAAAAACCTGTTTTGACAATTATTTTCACTTTTCCTATTTGAATGTTTAAGATCGTTTTGGAAAAAAATAGTTGCACCATCGGATTCAATGTTTTTACATGAGAATCGATACTTATCTCGATATATATAAAACTCTATTAGTGCTAATTTTGGTAATAATCGACTCAAACATTATTGTAATGTTTTTTTTTAATATAATGAACTCAGTAGTACAATACTATTAAGTTATTCAATAATTAATATACTTATAGTAATTTTCGAATATCATTAAAAAAAAAGAAAAATGTTTTCGAGAGCATCTCGACACCTGTTGCTAGAGGCGAAACATAAGACAAAACGTTAGGCAACCCACCAATTGTCGATTATGGTCTATGATTATTTATCTTGAGAAATCTCCTCTTCCATCAAAGTGATTTCAGAATTATTCACAGGACTAACTGTAGCAGAGAGATTGGGAGGCAGCATTGTTCTTGTTTGTGTAGTTTCAGGAGAACTACAAGGGTTGAAGTTAATTTGCTTCAACTCCTATCCAATCTGCATCAAGGTACCCAAGTGCTAAGGTATCAGTTGTTCATTTTTATCGCTTATTTCATAAACTTTGGCAATTATTATGGCTGTTAAATTTATCCTGACGTTATTTATAATTATTTGTTTTAGCCTGATAAAGATAACTAAGACTCACAGAAGATTTGTTTAATTTAAACAATGTTTGAATTTGTTTTTTACACAGACTTAAACGGGAGTCAGTGGGTCATCGATTTCAACTTTTTTTCTTGGTGATACTACATCGGAAATATTAGACACATGGCCACTAAGTTCAATGAGCCTTACGAGCCGAGATAAAAAACATTTAATGTAATTTCTAGCAAAATTTATGTTGTTTTTTTGCCTTTGCTTTGTCCGTATTTATGGATTATTACATACTAATCTGTTTTATTTTACTATTGTAATTTTATTTAGTATAGCTAAGTCGAACCGACTAACGTAACGATGTGGAGAGAAGTATTGTTTTAAAAGAGAAAGAAGCCTATATTCGTTTTTTCCCGCCTCAAATACCTCTTTAACACTAAATTTTGTTTGAACAAAATGTTTGCCTCGGCTAAAATTGTGATAACTTCAAGGGTACTCCACAGATGCACACAAAAATTATCAGAGATACAGGACCTTAGAAATACAACAAATGATATAAATCCGACCCCCTTAAACATATCCAAACTGGATATAAAAAATTGATACATTTTATGTGTTTTTCTTTAAAAGGTATCAAATCTAATAGTTTTATATACTTTGGAAGAGGAATAGTTTTTAGGGAAGCTTTTCAACGGATATAAGAACATTGAATGCAGAGGAAATCCTGAGAAGTTTTGAATCCTTTATTAAATAGCAGGAAAACAAAATAGTTAACCGATTACTCAAATTGGTATTTTTTTGTTTCATAAAAATTTGTATTTATTAGTTCTAAAAGTCATTAAAAGCGAATCTTCCTTTACATAACAAACATTTATTTCGCCTACTTCATAGCAGCGTCTTTTGGTTTTATTAACTCATTTAATACTATTGACAAAAAAATAAATCGATTGGTATACAACCAACTAGAAATCCTGAGAAAGCTAAAGGAAAAAAAAAAAAACATTCTTTTTTTTTTTTTAAATTACAAAATATATTTTTTTCTTGGTTGCTAATGCCTTTTGGAACGAGCACTGAGACATGTGTTTAATATTTTTCGATGTAGTTTGACACCAAAAAAAATGTTAACATCACTGATAGTAACCTTTTCTTGTTAGATGTAAACGAATGAATCGGTTCATAAATAAATTAGTGTTCATAAACTAATTTTTTACTAGAATATGGTAGCCTACCTGCGGTTTGGTGGGTATGTTGCTGAGATCCTGAAGCGGAAGTCCTCCGTTCCTGAGGGTGCAGTAGCCAGGGTACGGTCCTGGCTGGAGGAGGGATCTGCTAGGGGAGGTTCGAGTCTCGATTGTAGACACAAGCTGCCTCTTCCTCATGAACTCATGCTCTTCCTCTTCAAGTCCTGAAATGAGAATAATATAAAATAAACTTCATAAATTACTAAAGGATGTTAAAATAAGGAAATGGTGAGGTTTGCTTTGATTACAAAATCGAGATAAAATGACTACAAAAATATCGGGCCGTTTGACGTGACCTCTTCCCCCAAAATAACCAGGTTATACAAGACAAATTATCCAAAATTTTTGTAGTCCACCTTTCTTATCGATTTTGTCGACAAATTATATTACGATTCAAATGGAAAACGTATTATGTATGGAAAGTATTTAATACTTCATTAAATTAACAAAGTCTGCCAATCTCCATAATGAAAACGTCCCATTTACAGTTATTTTCGTAAATAAAATTGTTGTAGGTTACGATAAAATAAAGCCACTCACGAAGTTTTAGACAAGTGTTGATAATTGGATATAAAGGGGCCTATGCCGTGGTTTATTTACTATCCATATGCGTTTTAGCATTATGATAGTTTATAAATTCGATATGTTGTATATTTCTGGCCTGTCAAGCACAAAAATAATTGTATAAGTTTCGATCGACTTTAAAAATTTGATTTAGTGTCTCTGGAATCATTTGTATTCCGTTATAGAAGATTAGTTAAAAAAAGTTCCACAATTTATTCGTCATTCTCCATTATAAACAACGACTTTATATTTTTCTATTATATAAAAAATGTTTAGTGACTTCCATATTTTATTTGATTTTAGTATTAGGAGAGTAGGAGATTACAGGAGCTCTCCTATTAGCTCCATAATTAGCACTAATGTAGTTGAGCTCCTAGAACCTCCATGCTCTCCTAATACAAACTAAAGATTTTAGACTAAAATTTGTACGGAAAATGGTATTCATATGGAGGTGATAGTTTGATTTTACCTAGGTGACAACAGTTATTTTTCGATCTAGATTTTTCTCCTGGAATACAATATATTAATCATTATCTTATATATAATATTATTTATATTATATTGTGATGTGATTTTTTGTCTGCTCCATCACTGTCTGTCTTTGGCTGGATACTTCTCCTTGTATTAGGACATTTGGGGTCATTTGTACACGCCTTTGTCACTCTCACCAACTTACCGGGAACTCCTAGTTCAGTCATGAATTTTCAAAGACAGCTCCTGTCCACAGAATCATAGGCTGCTTTGAAATTGACAAATAGGGCCTGGACGTCCTGAGCTACTTCTCATCGTTTTTCAAGTACTTGTTTAAGGATGAAGATCTGGTGCTTCTTCTTCCTTTTCTGAATTCAGCTTGGTGGTCGCCTATTATATTCTCGTAATACGGATATATCCGGTTTAGTACAATATTAGTCGTTATTTGTAGACCACCGGAAGGAGTGCTCTGCCTCTGTAATTACTACACTCATGCATGGAGCCTTTCTTTAGAATAGGACTGATTAGTCCCGTATTCCAAGTTTCAGGTATCCTTTCCTCTTCCCATATTTTCTGGATTAGTATTTTTTAGTGACCGCGTATTGCTGATTTGGTCCTACAAGCCCGCAAAACATTGCGGTTGGGGTATACTCATGCGCCTGCTGGCACCAAACGAGGACTATACCGAAATGTGTAGATAATTATATGATTATTTCAAATTAAATCACCCAATGAAATACAACTATGTAGATAAAAAATAGTACAATCTGAACTACAGAATACATGTAAATTAAAGGTATTTAATTTGAGAAACTAGTAATGAACAGTTCTATTATTTGTGAAAAGGGGGTACCCCCCTCCCTAGTTCTATATATTATTTTTTCTAAATAGTAAAGTAATACCTAGCATGTTTTCTTAAATCTTAACCTTTTCAACGGAATATAAACAAAAATGTTTTTCTTTCTTTTGTTAATTATCAAATGATTTCATGTTTTATACTTCGGTATTTTATTTTAAGCTATTTTATTAAGAAATTGATCATTGAATTGGTCAGTTTGGTTTTAGTAAAAATAATAATATAATGAATAAAAATATATCAAATTTATTTGATTAATATCTGCAGTGTGATTGATTTGTATGAGACCAGTTTGAACACAATAGATTTATAAATAATAAGAAAAAAGTAATAATGCATGCACGTACATGAGAAGAAAATTATAAATGAGGTTTCTAGTTAACAACAACTACAATATATGGTTTAAAATAAATAATATTTTTGAATTTCCATTCTTACAAACAATTATTTAATGATGTTTCATCAGTTATTAATAATTATACGAATAAGGTAATGTGAGAAGTGATACATTGTTAATATCAACTCCTTATGTTTAAATCACTGTTCAACTATTGCTTTCAGTATGGCAAATATTGTCGTTAATAGAAGCCATTTGACTTAATTTCCATTTTAATTTCAGAAATAAATAATTCTCTCTATCCTTACTAGGTCCTGAATAAACCATGTTGCATTAAGGTAGTGCATCATTTTATATGCGGTATAAAATATTCATTCTATAAAATCCGAACGGATACACGACATGAAATGGCTTTACTAACATCAGTGTGTATTAAGATAAAATTCGAAACGTAGTTTGATTGAAATAATTTGGCATTGTTCATTTCTCTTATTTATATTATCGAAAGAAATAGTTATTATTAATTCCAGAAATTCTCTTGATGGTAAAATGGAGCAGATGAAATATTGTTAGAAAAAATTGTCATGGAAATTATTCAATCATTTATTAATCTCTGTTCTTCTATATATTTTCCTTGTTTAGCTATAATGGGATGAGTTTTTCACTTTATGTATTAGGGTATCCCATAAGTTTTTTCGTTTTTTTTATTTTTCATTTAAGGTTGATTAATATGTTATATATGAACCATTCTGCTCTATTACCTTCTTTCATTTCTAAATAAGCCCATAATTCCCTCTTTCCACAATTGTTGAGACTTATTTGCAAAGTATTCGCGTTCGGATTTATGACATTTATTACGGAGATAATTTTTTAACATGTCAAACAAGTAATATTACGATGGGGCAAGGTCTGGGAATTATGGACGTTAATGTAAAACGTCCTAATCAAACTGTAAGAGTTTCTGTCTTACATCCAACGAGACATGTGGCGTTTGTAACGATTTTGGTCTCAACAATTTTGGAAAGAGATAATAATGGGCTTCCTGAGAGATGAATGAAGAATATGGACCATAACGGTTTACATATCACGCATTAAACCAAATTTAAACGACAAATAAAGAAAAACTTGTTGCGCGCAACACACAACTTTCAATTACTGCTCTACATTGAACAGAAATTATTTTCTGGTAATGTTGGACTGTTATAAAATATTTGAAGTTCATTTTAAATGGAGCTAATACTTGAAGCTTACAGAAACTTAATTATTAAGACCATTGAAATTACAAAAAGTCTATTTATAATATCGACGGTAGGCAATAAAAATCTAGTTACTCTATTTGCTTTTATGAACCACACGTCTTCAATCTCTGAGCCTTTCAGTTGACAGAATGACTAACTCCAATTTAAACATTTTTGAGTAATGTCATTTTAGTGATATTTCTAGTTGGAAAAGTTATATCTATACAGTCAGTGAGTAAGTTGATTCCAGAGTAGGTGAATACAATGTTGAAACATAGAACTTTGAATAAAGGTATAAATTTTGCCACTAGAAACATCACAAAATTAATTATAAAGAATTTTGAAATTGGAGTCATTCTGTCAACTGAAAGGCTCATATATGCCTAAAGAGATTTCCATTGCCTGCCATGGTTAGATCAAAAGTTGTCACACTAATTGTAAGTGAATAATGTTGGTATTTTACAAAGGGAAAATCCATCAAATCATTCACTAATTTAATTTTCTAAAAGGTTACTTGATGATTTTTTGGAATAAACGGCCAATAGATTTATTAAACTATTGTAAATATATTTGAAGTGTATTTTAAATACTTTTTTTCAACTCAGAAAAATTTTAAAACGTTTACATATAGTAAGAAAATTTCATTTAATTTCCTTGGAAACATGTGATTTAAGTTAAATAAAGTTAGTTTTCTGACATTATTATTTACACCCTCCTTTACCTTCTACAGCTTTCTATATTAGATATTGTTTTTTCTCTAAAATTCTTCGCTTTCCAACGATATCTTATACGTATACCTTCTGGCTGGTATTTCCGGAGATTCATTTTCGACCTGGATAAGCAAATTTATTTTTTTCTCCTTTATTCAATTATCAAATTCTGTCAAAATTTATATTTAGGATTTTTTCATGACTCTGAATAACTTGAGATGATTATTTTTTTTAAATAAACCATATTAAAGGTACTTTAGAGGAAGACGTATATGAAAGAACATTGGGCATTTAAGCCCTGTAAAGTGACATCAATGGCGATAATCCCTAAACGATATTAAAGACCACTTAATCATGTCTCATTGGAACTATATAAAAACCTTAAATACGTAATTTATGTCTCGCATAACTTTTTGTTTTTGAGCTAGGCTGTATACATACACACATACCATTTTGCGGGACTTTGTTATTTGGACTCAGGGGTCGAAAATTTTCACGATCGCAATACTTTCCCTTACTATTTATTACACATATAGTTAAGTGAAAGTAAAAAAAAGTGAATAAACATATATTATTATTAATTTTATATTAGGAACATCCTAATATAAAATAATGAAAGGCTTAGCGAACCCGAAGGTTCGATGCCGACACCACCAATCGCTTATTTCACACTCCCCTCGACCGTTCGCCGTCCAAAGCCAGTCCCTTCAGATCGGCTTTAACGCAATCTTCTCACCTTCGCTTTGGTCTACCCCTCGGACGTTTACCATCCGGTACAGCAAATATTAACATTTTAGGAATTCTTTCGTTAGCTAGCCCAACAGTTTTACAAGCCAATTTGATTAGCCGTGATGTAATCACCTCAATTGTATTAACTGGATACAGTTCACGCAATTCGGCGTTGTGTAACCGTTGCTCATCCCTTGATGTAAGCCGCCACGCATCCATAAAGAACTGTAGGCAAGATAATGGTTTTATAGATTCTAGT